GGTGTGCATTATTTTTCTAATAATTCAATGGCCCGGAGTCAATTATTCCGCTTATACTACGGTTACCACACCTCAAGACATCAGATGATATATTTAAAGGGATTCGTCCGATTTTTGTACTTAAATCGCTATTGTGAGTAGGAATATTTATTCCGCATCTCATACAACGCCTCTTTTGCTAGTTCCAAAACGTAATTTTAAAGCTGGTAATGGAGGCTTGAGCCGTTGATAGCATTCGAATGCAGTTATTAATGAAGTTATTAGAAAGAGAGCGAGAGAGACAGAGACACACAGAGAAAGAGAAAGAAAACGAGAGAGAGAGAGTTTGTGTTAATTAGGCTACCTCTGCGCGTCCCTCAACAGTGTTCTGCAGCAGCGTCTCTAAACAGCGCTGTTATTACCTCGCTAGTGAGAAATGTCATATGTAGCCTTTAAGTTGCTACACTATATAGGCTAACTGATAAAATCGTCAAAGGCAGCGCTGACTGTAGTGTGTGTGTGCGAGCACGTGTGATTGCAGTAATTCCTGAGTGCTGTATAGGTACTGTATGCTAATTTCCGTTATTACAGTAACTGCGAAGTGATATGGAGCTGTAATGCGGTCAAGAGAGCTGCCTGGAACTACGTTCGCCGTGCGTTGCCCTGAAAATAATTGCACACCTCAGAACGTTCGTCAGCCAATAAGATTCAAGCATTCAACGGCCCCGTAGTATAATTTTATTTACTTATTTATCGTTTGTTTGTTTGTAACGAACTGCTGCTTTAGTCTCAGTCCAGCACCTCCAACACAGTAGCATTTGACACCGAGGTTAATGAGAGGCACACTATACAGTTCACCTACAGAACCCATACGCTTGAATTAACCTGTAAGAATGGATCAAAGAATGGTGTTTGAAAGAAAGAGTTTGTTTTGTGGTTCTGGTTCTTGTCTGATCTCAGTATAGGAGCTTTGAAGGGCATGAATGTGAGCTCAGGTCATGTATCAGTAGATCAAATGAAAGGCGAGAGTCGGTGTGCGTTTGGAAGATTAGTGGAACAGACAGAGACCAGAAACGGTGTGTGCGTCTGCGTGCTTTTTCATCAACTCTTCTCACTGTCTCTGTTCTTGTTGGCCATTTAGACTTAATATACTTGATAAACATGTATGCGATAAAATGGCTCTATAAAAACACCTTGTCTTTTTTTCTATTGGGAAAATTGAGCGTAGCTGTTCACACTATTGTGAAACGTTTTTTGTATTAAACAATTTATTTTCCGGCTTATGTACTTGTGGCTAATGAAATATCGTGACCTTTAAATGACTTAGTGCCCGCTTGTGTGTATTTGATTCTTGTAGTGAGAGTAAATTAATCCATGGGTGTGTAAGAGAGAGAAATGCATGAATAATGCGTTATCGTAAGAGGAGTGATGTCGCATCGGTTGTTGTTTAGGTTTGTGTCTGTGTTCAGAATATAGTTGATAATGCACAGACAGCATTTACTTATTTATTTAATTATGCACAGTCAGATTTATAGATAGATAGATAGATAGACATACATACATACATACATACATACAGACATACAGACAGACAGACAGATAGATAGATAGATAGATAGATAGATAGATAGGTAGATAGATAGATAGATAGATAAAAAAAGATAAGCCAACTTGATCGATAATAATTAATTGATTGATAAATTGAAAGTCGAAATTATTTTATAATCTTATAATACATTATTTTAAATCTTCCGCTAAGGAGGGAAAAAACATCAGGATAGCAACAAAACAAACAGTGCCACAATATAATATTAAAGCTGAGTCATGACCAACACTGCCCAATCAGAACCCAGCATTCCAGAACGTTGTATAATAAATTAGCTACCTATATTTTTGTTTGTGGTATCGCTGCTTGCAGCTATATTTTAGTGTGTTTTGTATTGTTGAGGAGTCGTGTGTGTGTACAATACATTTCATGTTATGTTTACCTCTGTGTCTGGTCAACTGTAATTTCTTGGGGTTTGTATTGTTGTGTACAGACACGTTAGTAGTGAGTTTATCATTAAAAGGTGTGTTAATTAGAATGAACGGTTAAACGGCTAATTATCTAAATTCAAATGTCTGGTCTGGTTGTGGTTGGTTGCACCATGTATGTGCACAAATTACCACACTGAATTTGCATTTGTGTGTTTGTTTGTCCCACAGGTGTTTGGAGGGCTAGTATGGATCCTAGTAGCGTCTACACATGTGACAACGCCAAACCCTCAAGGATGGGTGATGTTTGTATCAGTCTTCTGCTTTGTGATGACCTTCCTCTGGCTCATCATCTTCGCCTGTGGAGGACACAAAAACAGCAGCGCCTGGGCTACAGCGGTGAGCGGAGTAGACATCCCCCCTAAAATAAATCAGATAGGCCTATAATATATAAAATATTTGACTAAAACTAAATGCCATTTTAGTCAAAAGACTACTACTAAAGCTAAATCAAGATTTGCTGTCAAAATTACCACTGATACATAATATATTATAATATGCCTATAATATAGGCTAATATATCAACTGTGAGATTATACGCCTCATCACGTGGTAGTAAATGTCTGGTGTGTGTGAGTGGGTAATATATACATATTTAATGGACTAGCTTTGATGATGTCTTCTGTGTACAGGACTTTATTTATCACCTGATTGCTGTTATATTCTATCTGAGCGCATCAGTGACCCTGGCCATTGTGACTATCGGCATGAATACATTCAGTATAGCAGCACCATATGACAAGTACTATAAAATCGACATCGCAGCTGTGGTAAGCACAAATTACAGACTTGGTGTCTGTTGATACTGATTACTGAATTATTTTTTATGCTAATTTCTCCTATTTGTATATTTAGTTAGCTTTGCCATATTCTAATGCTCACTTAAAGGTAATTTAAAAAAGACTTAGATTTATAATATTCTTAAGCAAATCTAAAAATGAATTTCCATTTTTGAACATTTTGAAAGCCGTTTGAAGTTCAAATGTTTGGCTGAATTTTTACCCTCTCTCCTTCAGGTGTTCTCGTATGTTGCCACATTACTCTACTTCATCCATTGCATCCTTTCTGCTGTGCGGTGGAAATCCTTCTAATCAAATAATCTCAGCAAAAAGAAATCAGTTTGACACAAATTCTTTAATAAACTGAAAATAAACACTGGAAAACCACTGGGGCTGAAAGATGAAATCTCAGGGGTCAGTCCTTAGTGCCCTCTACACAGAATCACAAACCACAGCAATCATGATGGAATAAACCTGCTTATTCTTTTCATATTAGATTATTCTAACCTCATTACTTTTCTAATGATGATGCATTCTTATATTTGGGCGAAGGGAAACTTTTTTGAAATGCTATCTGTACTAGTACAATGACACGTGGATAAAGAAACAATGTGGGTTTTGTATACTTCTTGTACCTTTGTAACAGATAAATAAAATTTTGCATATTTAGCTAATACGCACTATGAACAACATAATATTTTAATGAAAGAATATGAACTGGACAGAATTCCCTGTGTAAGTAATTCCTGAGTTATGTATGGGCTGTATAAATATGACTACATAAATATGCTACGTATGACTACATGCATTTTCAAACAGGCAAATAAACACATTTAAAATAAATAATAATAATAATAATAAAAATATCCCTAATTTGACCAAATATGGATTTTACTCCAAAAACAAAACAGTGAGTCTGTACATTGGTGTTTTCAACCATATTTTGTATATTCAAATGAACTGACCAAATAAGCCAAACCTATTCTCTAAAATGCATCATACCTACACAACTTTTTTTTTTAAATGTATCATTTATTTAATGTATCAGCTAACTCAATTGTAAATCTGTGCACGAAACAGTTACATATAAAACACTGATATACTAGGCTGTATAAAATGTCGTTCATACAATGAGTTTTTGCATTCCACTGTGCTGCTTTCCCATTGTTTTTCTATTAAACATGAGCTAGATTGACACGTTTGACCACTATGCTTGTGACAATGCAGCTTTTCATCAACTTTTAAAAAACCCATCTCTACACTTGCATTTTATCATTGCCGTAATCCAGTCATTACAACAGGAAACCATGCTATTTTTTGTGAGGGTGAAAGTGTTTGCCACAGATTTTGCTCATGTTCAAGTTTGTCACGTGAATTTGCCACACTGACCAAAAGAAAACTGCAGGGTTTGAAAGTGATTTCTGTGAGAGCTGTGCTTCATACATCGCTACACAAATGATAATAAACAGCAAACCCTTTTGGTCGCAACATCTCGCTGAAATTACACTACTGTGACCGCAACTTTACTCAAAACATGAGCAAGATTAATGAGTTGACACTGAAAGTGGGTTTATTGTAGATTTATTGGTGTGCTTCCAGTTAAGTTATGTGCAGGTACGTGAGAACAAAGTCTTCAAACATTCACTTCCATGCTAATCTTTCATGGGCTCATGACATATAAACACTCATTTGTGGGGGTATATAGCACTTCAGGACCTTTAGTTTAACAGCATGGTTGCAATCCAAGCACGTGCTTCAATGCTCTCCCCAGAAACGGTTCTGCACTAGACAGTCAGCCTGCAGTACGGATTGGCTGGACATTATCATTCAGTTCACCAGATGGTCCTTTTAACCCCTGCCCACACTGATCTCTTAACGCCTTGTGAGGCCTTCACGTCAGCCCAGTGCAGACGTGTGTTGGGCACATCGTCCTCTACTTCAGGTTCCTTACGGGCACCGAGCTGCGGTCGTGCCACCACGATGGGCAGAGCGCCTTGTTCTGCCCTGAACTCCACCACATTCAGCTGCTTTATATCAGATAGATTCTGATGAGTCTCCTGTAGTAGGACCGGGGAGAGGAAGTCAGTTATAAACCTGAAAAATACACTGACACAGTTTAGAGCAGGGGCTGGGCAACTTCGGTCCTGGAGTGCCACTGTCCTGCAGAGTTTAGCTTCAACCCTAATTAAACACACCTGCCTGTAGCGTTCTAGTGATCTTGAAGACATTGATTAGCTTGTTCAGGTGTTTTTGATTAGGGTTGCAGCCATGGTTTAGAGGGTCCTTAGTTTACTGTGACCATACATACTTAAAGGAATAGTTCACCCAAAAATGAAAATTGACTCTCCCTCAGGCCATCCAAGATGTAGATGAGTTTGTTGGGAACAGATTTTGAGAAATTTAACATTACATCACTTGCTCACCAATGGATCCTCTGCAATGAATGTTGCCATCAGAATGAGAGTCCAAACAGCTGATAAAAACATCACAATACTCCACACGACTGATCTTTGCATATTTCTTTTTCGATTCAGACGAGCAATGGTTTGAAGCTAAAAACATCTTAATGGATTTATTACTAACATGCAGCTTTTTGCTTGATGTTGTTGTGTGGATTACTTGTGGATTATTATGATCTTTTTATCAGCTGTTTGGACTCGTTTTGAACCATTAGTTTTATTCATATGAACCGACTCCCTAAAATACATCAGACCTCTCAATGCTACTTTTGCAATTGATTAAAATGTCAGCAATGTGTACAAAACAATGTTTTATATATAAAGTAGTGAAGTATTATATAAGGTGTACTATATAATTGGTGAGCAAGGGATGTAACACTACATTTCTCCAAATTGAATTGAATGTCTTTATTGTCATTGTACAAGTACAACGAAATTGAAATGCAAACCTCTGGGTGCATAATCTAACAATATAAATAAATCTAATAAATAGTAAACCGGTAACAGGATCAAAAACACCATTATAAACATAAGACGTCTCGCGTTCAACAGTCAGTTACACGACTCATATTCAACATCGCACATGATGTTCAGTTAAGTTATTGCAGTATTCGAAACAGATGGATTAAGCATAGAAACTGTTCATCTCAAATTCGACAGAATTGTACAACTCATTAAACATTGTACATGATACTCATCTTAAATCTGTTCAGATGAAGAAACAAACTCATATACATCTTGGATGGCCTGAGGGTGAGTACATTTTTATTTTTGGGTGAACTATCCCTTTAAGCTCCTAGTGAACAGTAGATTATTCTTTAGTGAGGCCAAACAATGAGGACTCAGCAACTGGAATGATATGGATTTAGCCTTTACATTTGTTCCTTTATGAAGTTCCTGGATGTTTACTGGTCTTGGGACAACATTCTCAAGAATCATCAATCTGATTTTAGTATCAGTTAGGGATGAAGTAGGGGGTTGAACAACACTGTTATCTACCCATAATATCCTTCTGACATTATAGGTAATAAATGGCTGGGGTTAGGGGTAGGGCAGGTACTTACAAGTATTTAAGCAAATAATGATCAAAGAAAGGGTTAAGACTTTTCAGTTGTTGTTTGATTAATATTAACAACATATAAACATTAGTTAAGACTATGTTTGACAGAAATGTGGTTTTAGGACTAATGGAAGATGCTGATTCTGAAACACATTATACTTGGAAAAATCATGGTTACTATATCAAACAGGCCACTGAGACATGTACAAAGACTGATCTTATTGGCTATTGTACTGATGTAATCTCTCACCTGATTGGCCAGGCCGTGGAAGAGAGCCCTGGTGATGTTGAGGAGGTTAACTGAACCATCTACTTTTGCATACATATCCTCTATCCCAATCAGTTTACAGAGAGTGATTACTGCCCGATGACAACGCAGACCATAACCTGACAGAGAGAGAAAATAATATCAAATATAAGAGAGAGATTGTCTTTTTTTTGTATACAGTTTTTTTTATCAAGTTTTGATTACAATATCTTACACTGTATGTTTTATACATTTTTACTTTGTCATATTCATAAACTTATTTTCGTCAGTGGAACACAACACAACATATGTCCCATTCCCATTGACATGTATTTTTTGTCCAAGTCAATGGGAACCAAAACTGTTTGGTTACCAACATTTTTCAAAATATCATCTTTTGTACTTTTCTACTTACACATAAAGAAAGTCATACAGGTGTGGAATGACATGAGGGTGAGTAAATAAAAATGTAAAATGTAAAACATTTTGAGTGAACTATCCCTTTAACAAATGATAATATATAAAAATATGTTACAGATAAACAAAAAAAAAGTTTTGGAATTATGAGCAAACATTTGTCAATAATTATCATCACAATGCCTATTTCATATTGTTTCATGCTGAAATGCAAAAAAATCTCAGCGAATATTTTCATGGGTGAGATTAACAATGGAGAAAAGAAGGTAAAAGAATAGATGTCCAGGGTAAGTGTGATCGCATGGCTGTGTTCAAGAACAATATTAAACACACATTACACAACAATGTGAGTCTAAAGATAGGAAAGGTGGAAGATCATGGTTCCCAGAGTTTCAGGTCCAATCATAACAGCTCCTGCCAGGCTTCATTATCCAGGTTTCAGCGGTGAGTCGTGGACTCTGAGAATTTGAGTCACATCAGAGCTCAGAACTCAATTACCATCAGCCCCATCTCAAATCTGAACATCATGATTTCAACTCTGATGTCAGGAATGAAATAAACCCATTGTGGCTCAATGGATGTGAAAGAAAATCTAATACTATATGTGGGAACTGTTCTGGATATCAAGAAGACATTTGCTTGACTGTTTGAAATGATGAAGAGTTTAATTGGCATTTCTGCACTGTCAACTTGCAGTAAGACTTCTGTTGATGTCAAAAGTTATACATGTAGTCGCAAAATTAGAGACCTTCCCCCTCAAAATTCAATCTAAAGTGGGCACAGGGGAGGAGATATATATGCTACTACTAGATCTGAATAGCAAGTACACGGGCCGTAGATGATCTAGAGAAACATGAAACCGAGTTTTGGATCTGGGATATGGTACATGTATGTGCAAACACCCCCCTGCAAATTCTCATTTAAAACAAATCATATTGCAAAACATGTATGACGAGCTCAGTAAAATACTGGGCTCACAGCTCTGTTATCAAGCAAACTGTGATTGTTTATATGCGTGTGTGAGGTCAGGCCACTTACCTTTGTTCTGTTTCTTCATTCTGAGTGTGGTCCTTTTAAACTTAGATTCAATGTCATGATATACTGCACATGAGGATAAAAAAATTATTAATTATAAAGATGAGAAATTAACAAAAAATACGAGGAGGCCGCAAACTCAGTGTCATAAAACACATATAAAACACTTAGATCCTTGCTGAATATAAGTATTTAAAAAAAATCTTACTGACTCCAAACTAGTGTATATAAATGCAATGTAATTTCAGTACATTACATGGGAAACAGGGCTGGGTGATAAAAAGAAAAAATATTTTAGTATATCAAGTTCAATGTATATATCTGAAATCAATTAAAAGCATTTTTTTTTGTAATCAGAGGAATCATCATTTCTTCACATTATTGTAAATTTGATTAAAATGT